ACATACATACATACATACATACATACATACATACATACATACATACACACATACATACACATACATACACATACATACATACATACATACATACACACATACATACACACAGACAAACTTACACACATACACGTACATAGGATATATATATATATATGCATACATGGACATACATTTATATATTTCAGACTTACCGGTAAACGCTACCATTCTCACATGGCTGTTGTATACTGTATTGTGGTCTGCAAAAATGCGGCGGGAAGAGCCCTCTCCTTCTCTTGTTCCTTCTCCTTCTCTTTCTCCTTCTCCTTCTCTTCCTCCCTCTTTTCCTCCTTTTCTTTTTTCTCTTTCTCCTTCTACTCTTCTGTTCCTTGCCTCCTATGCTAGTGTTTTATCCTTTTCCTTTTTCTCCTTCTCCTTCTACTCTTCTGTCCCTTGCCTCCTGCGCTAGTTTTTTTTTTTCTCTTTGTGGCAACCCCTGACCACAAACAGTGCGGAAAAATATCCCAAAACGCGTCGGAAAAAAAACGAAAAACAATTGGTCGCCCTCTATTCGGTGCTGTTCAATTTAGAAACAAGGTGAGCCCAGAAACCAAAAGCAAAACCATGGAACACATGAAGAGGAATCCCAGTGCAGGTCGCGGCAGTAAATTTTGCAGCATACAATTTTCCACTTCAGCACTGGTAAAAGCGTGCCACCTCAGCACCTCTGCAAGCGCCCCGCCTCACAACCAGTAAAAGGGTCTTCTCATCCAATATAGTTTGCCGGTCGCTCATATCCAATCAAGTGCTTTCTTGCATGATATCAGATGATATATCATCGCTGGTATGGCTGTATTGGTGCCCGTATGATCTGATTCGGTTTGGTGGATGGATTGATGGTTCCATGGCTACATCTATATTATATAGCTGCATTATATTACAGTGTGTGTATATATAAGTATATATATAGCATTCCAATTCATTCCATATCTATCCAAAACCACCACGCATCATGTCACCACATCACAAAGCAGGACACATCACACCGCCACATTTTCTCTTCTCATTCTCGCGGGACGATCTTCCACAAGGTGAGTTGCAGAGGTGCCATTCAAACAAAAGGGTTGCAAGAAAATGGACCGTTTCAAAGGGTTCTATCGTTGGCGTTTAAAATTCTACGATGATCTCCGCATTCCCATTCACCTTGTGTGTGTGACAGGTATTTGATTTACAGCAGCCAACTCAGAAATGTTTTAATTCCAAACACAAGCTTGAGCTGTGCACCTTTTCTTCAGGCGCAGGCTTTTGCAGAAAGGCCTAGAAGCATGGTTCCCGTTTCCCAGCGCTCAAAAAGTCTCAGAGGAGTTTCGGTCGAGATCCGCTTTGCAAATCTCAGGCTGGATGCTGCCAGTGAAACGGCCCGTCTCGTCTGGAAGCTGAGCTGTCAACGAGTTAGTGTCGTTGATTTCCAGCAAAGTTTGTATTGTTTGCCAACCCAGCTGAGGTGACGAACTGCGCTGCACTGGAATTTTGGTTCTTGGTTGCAATGAGCTAGCGCTAGCAGGGTTCGCAGGCTTTCCAAGGGTGTTTTCTCTTTGGAAACTGTGTCCAGTGAGATGAATCGGTGTTTGCGGCTGACGCTGTGTGTATGGCGACATGCGGAGTGTTGGCCTGCTGCTTTGCTTCTGGGGGTTTCTCTACCCTGGTAGTCAGTGTTTGGTTGCATTTGCTGTTAAGGTTTGTGGCAGGCAAGTTACAGGCAAGCGGCGAGCAGCTTCGTCCAGGAAAATTGAATACTGTGGGGCAGGACTAACTGACTAACTTCGTGCTTAAACAATCTGTCAAAAGACGCAATCCCAGCTTCGTCCAGGACTAACTGACTAACTTCGTGCTTAAACAATCTGTCAAAAGACGCAATCCCAGTATAAGAGGATGCGCATGTCCGAAGCCAAACCCAGCCCAATCCAGCTCTGCCTATTTCGCAAGAGGCTTTGTGGGATTTTGTGGATTGTGTGGGGCGAACGGTCCGTTGCGGCTTCAGGTTAGTGTTTGGCCCTCACGTTGTGGTTGGGACTGCCGGTTTTGGCTCGTTTTGATGTGCTGAGTGCGCCCTAACGTAGCCTCCAGTGAGTAGTTTGGGATAGCAAAGGGTGCTGCAGAGCAACTGGCCATGATGCCCTTTAGGACCCACACGTTCTTGAGATTTCTTGAGCATTGCCCTTGTTTAGTTGGAAGATGTGACAAACTTTGTGGTTGTCAACGCTGCCGGTGCGCAAGCACTCCTCACAATGGACAGGTTAACATCAGACGAACTGTCGCCAGAGCCTGCGGAATTCTTTTCCGACTGCTTGAAAATCAATGAGGCATTGGGGATGTTGGGGTTGGCTTTGTGGTGATCCACACAGATTTCGGATGTGGTCCCGTTGTGAGGCAGAGCCAAAAGCATCTTTACGGACCTTGGAGCTCAATGTGCTCACGGCCTTGGAGCGATTCTTGAAAACTAATCCAAGTGAAGAAGACGTGCCGCCTTCCATATCAATCATGCATCAGACACCAGTGGGCGATATCAAGTTAGCCATCCCATCATGGAACGTGGCTATCATGGTGGGCCTCCCTCCGGATTTTTTTCAGCGTCCACCAGCTGACAGTGGCTGGGGAAGCACCGGTGAAAATGAATTAGATCACGGAGCCTTGCCTGGCGATTTCGTGCACAGTCTGGGAGAAACTGTTGAGCTGGAAGCTCCTTGTGACGAAAGGACGCCCATGCCAAATTCAAGCCAGCATGGTGGGCCGGACAATTGCTTGCTGGACTGGCAAAGGTTGCCAGCGCTCAGAATACGGCTCTTGAAGCAACTCGGTTGGAGAGTTGTGCAAATTCCATATTTTGAATGGCGAAAGCTCCTCAGATCAGAAGAGTTGAGTTTTCTGAGACAACTTTTACGGCGTTCGACAAATGGCTGGGGCGGAACTTGAGTTTGAAACTGCAACACCTGTTTCGACTCATAGTATCATGGAGCATGACGTATTCATAAAACGCTGAACTGTCATGTTTGCTCTCATAAAACAAACAAGGACCGGCCAAATGACATAAATCATACAGTACAGTCATACCATGTCATATCTCACCATTGGAATAATAACGTTGTTGGAAAAGGCACCGATAAGCATGTTTGAGTAATAGGTGTCCTTCCTCAAGGAGGCACTTTAAGACCTTTGCCCAACAGCAGCCGTGCCGACAACATGGCTGCAGAGTTGATCTCCAGTTGATTAGCAGCAGATTTAAGCCAGGAACCTTGGCTGCTATTTGCAATGTGAGTTCAAGTTAAAATCTTGATGGTTAATGCAACATAAAGCAAGGGTGCTTGAAGCGCTGTGGTTGCAAAAAAAAGTGTTGGCGGATCTACATTGACTCCGGACTTTTTTGCGAAAAGTTGAAAGGTTGTGCAATGCCTTTAATTTATAGTAGTAAAGTATGTATATACATTTATTGAATCGAAAGTCGAGAACTCGACACTTATTCTAGTTTTTCGGGTCTGTGACCTCTAGATCCTAACATATCCTAAGCTCTAACAATTCGTTTTAGGGAACTGGTGTCGTCACATATCAAACATCCGTTTCCGTCCTGTTTGCTTTTTTCCCTTTGGCGCCTGGGTTCGCTGGACACATGAGGCGATGGCAGGCCGTGCACGGAACTGGCGGCCTGGGGCCTCTTTCATTTTGTCGGCCACGAAGATCTGATAAGATATCCAATGCCACCGACTTTGAATTGGATTTCTTTGCACCATCCAATGAAAGCGGCTTTGCCACTGCTGCATGAGTCGCATGACATCCATTTTGCTTGGTTTATTGCCGTTTCAAGATTTGCCCATACTGCCAAGGAAATCCAAGGAATGATTCTACATGTTTGCTGGAAGTGGCATGCAATCATATGCAATAATATACTCAAATGACCACATGTGTCGTTGGACTTTTGCTTGATATAGGTCACTAGTCACTAGTCGTAAGCTTGCCAATCGCGCGCTCGGTGCGAGGTCGCTATCGTTTTCACAAAAGGTCATTTACACTGCACTGCCGGCACTTTTGCACTTCATCAACACCAACAAAATGACAGTTCACATTTGCGTCACAAACAAGATCAAATATGTGGCCAGTATGTATGTGCGTATCATTGCACAACGCTGTTGTATGGCCAGAGTGCTGTGGTCAACACAGCGGTGCTCAGCTTCGTTTGGGTGAAGCGCCAGATGAAGTGCGCCTCCTCCAAGAGGGAAAGAACGAAAGAACTATGAAGGAAACAAAATGCTGCTGTCAGCTTTATGTGCATAGGATGGCAGACAAAGAGCAAAAGGAAGTCGAAGAGTTGCAGGCAAGAATGGCAGAGTGGTGTACTCCTGGGTGTACCTGTTGCCAGTCGCATTTGTGTTGTTTCCTTCAATTTCCTTCCACATTCTTGTCAATGAAAGGATGAGAGTGTCCTGCTGCTCCAAATGCACTTCAATTCTGGTTGCACTTTGTATTTCAGGCTACGATTGCAGAGGTTTCTGCGGACAATTGGAGCGCTAATAGCCGATACAGGTGGAACTTCAATTTGACCGTCGTCAATGATGAAATGTGTGTTTTTTCCGTCCTTTTTGGGGAAGGTGTTTCTTTGCTGCCCAGCAATACTACTTGCTGAACTCCAGCGGTCCAGAGGAGGTGTAAAGCCAAAAAGGCTTGCCACTTGTTCGGCCAGGGCCAGATTGCCTGAAAGTAAACGGGTAGATCATGCACAAAATCAACCGATAGCCCTTTGGGGAGGAGACTGCTCCGGAAGCCAAGAAGATGCTAGATGTGTTGGCTCAGTGCCGTGAGGCTTGCCGTATGCTTGCTGGTTGAATTCTTTAGTTTCAACAATTCTGTGTTCAATCATGCTGCTAACAGGAGTTGTACCTGAAGATCCCCAAGGAGCGTTTGAGCAGTTCTCTTGAAGTGCATGTTGCCTCGTTTCCGATAGAGCAAGGACACTCCGGCCTCTCGACCCATTCAGCTTATGGCGACAGCTGTCTCACAAAAGTGACATGTACAAGTGCAATTGATACAAAGGGTTTAATTACCGATGTACGTGCTTCCAGAGGACTTACGTGCGAGTCAATTGTCCTCCACAATAGTGGGGCACGATCAAATTGCTCGCCGCTTCATTCGATAGTAGCGACGTCGCGCCGCGCCAGAGGGAGGAGTTTTCCCAGGGAGGAAAAGGGTGGGGTTGCTCTTGGTTTCGTGATGGAGGTAGCAGCTGTTCAAGGGCCAAAAGAGGCCCCTTTGAGGCAACCATTCTTTGCTCGGCATCCTTTCGCAGTGCTTGTGATGCTTGTGTAATCTTCTTCTCACTGGGAACTGCCAGCCCGTGAATGCATGGATGTCAGCTGCAGTGCGGTAGCATTGTGCTTGCCAAGCACGCTTTGTTTTGCGCTGTAAGACCACGAGAACGATATGGTTGACTCTTGATATATATAATAAAAATATATATAAATAAGTCAAAGTTTTCCATGCGGATTCAACCCCTAACTTGTCATACATATGGGACATCATGTACAGTCAAACACTCCATGTCGTTCCGACATGTATTGGCTCAAGAAAAGCGCGCGCCCGTCGTGCTTTTCAGCTTCCGCGCACGTCGCTCGCTCGCGCTCGCCCGTGCAGGCTTTCGTTGGTGCGGGTTGTGTTTGGTTTCGGGTCGGTTGCCGTAGGTGCTCCCTCCCCTAACTCACACCCCACTCCCCGTCGTGTTCCATCCCATACTAGGGTTCAAAACACCATTGTGAACATCTCCCACTCCGTAGGTTGTGGTGGCTGTTTGGTGCCGATATCCCTGAACCCTTGTCACTTTCATTGGTTATCAGCCGTAGGTCCAACCAACCTACGAGCTCTAATAGTCCGCCTCTTTTAGACCCAATGCCAAGGGTTACACCTCCTAGGTCACCCCGTCCCGAGTCAGCGCAAGCCGCTGCCTCCGGCGCGGATTCGCTAGGACTAAGTAGTGACCCTGATCCTAACCTAAGATCCGAGCCAGCAGCCGCCACGCAAGCCGCTGCTCTAAGCGCGGATTCGTTAGGGGTAGGCGTGAATGAGGCAGAGGTTGAGGTGACGTCCTTGTCAGAACTCGGTTCATTAGCCGTCGATGCTTTGAACTTGTTCGTTGACAACCAAGACCCACCAGCCGCTGCCGCAGGCGCGGGTTCGGACAGCTCGAAATGGGCAGGAGCAGCCTCGGAGGCTGATTCAGGACCAACTCTCTTTCCGCCATCCGTGATTGAACGCGAGGACAGAGATCTCGAGCTTGAAGAGCCCTTCGCCGGTCCAATGGGCCTAGAATACCCGGGCGATACTGAGATCCACCCTCTCGACAGCCCCACAGCCGAAGGCCATCCGGCCCCTGTGGATGAGCATTCGTTAGGTAATACCCATGCTATTCCCTCCCCTGACCAAGACCAACCGGTCCCAGCGGAGGAGACTTTCGTGCCACCCGAAAGCTTAATTGCCCAGGCCTCATCAACACCTAATAGTCCTCCCCTCCCCACTAATAACTTGTTTGATCCTTTTTGGTGAAGACGGGGACTCCTCAGCCGAGGAGGCAATAAGTGAGGAGATCGCACAACGCATCCAAGAGCAATACGACTTGGAGGCGGCGCTTGAGGAGTCCGCTCAAGCCGCAGGTGTCGAACCTGAGCCAGCGGATTTAGGTGTCGGTGAAGCCGCTGCCATTGGCGCGGGAAAAGGTGAGAGAGATCGCACTCGTAGGAGGGGTTGCCGAGCCGGTGCCAAGCACGTTGCAGGCCGTGAGAACCTCTCCTATGGAACAACGTGTGAGTACATCAGTGCACAGCTTGGTGACCCCACATATGCGCGGTTCGGCCGCCGCTTCAATCTCCCTCACATTCCCCCACAAGTTGCCCGCAAGCAGTACCCAGAGTGGTTCGGGTATGTCCTTCGCCACTCCGACAGGTGGGCGTCCGATTCGGAAGGAGACTTTTGCCGGTAGATACCATCACTAGATGGGCAACTATCTTACCTGAGCTTTGGCAATTCTTGTACACAATCGACCCCTCACTATTGCAGGGCATGCCACAACCTAAGTATAGACTACCCAGAGGATACTGGAGCTCGGATCATCCCTTCGTGCCTCTTCGCCACGTGCGCTCGGCCGAAACTAAGGTTGCTCCGCCTAGGACAGTATTCAATTCCGATTCGAAAGCCTCGTCTTCCGCCGCTCCGCCTCGTGTTGATCGCTCTCGGTCCGCAGCGCCCAAGGCTACCCCTGGGTCGTCATCAACGGCCAGTGCATCAACATCAGGAGCACCTTGGCGTCCCACGCTTGATCGTGCGTGGGCACACCCCAATTGTGTTGACACCTCGTTCCCAGGTCGAAGCCAAAGCTTCCAAAGCCAAGGCGGGCAAGTCGACGTCAAAAGGGGCATGAGTCCAAGCCGAAGTCTGTCGCAGCAGGGCCGAAGACTAAGCAGGCCGCAGCCTCTGGCGCGGGCACCTCGCATTCGTCTAGTAAGCCTGTCCCACCTAGTCCACCCGCCGGTCCTGTCACCGCGGGTCAAAGGGTCGACCCAGGTCAAGGCTGGAGCTACGTTTGTCGAGGTCCCCAAGCCATCATTGCCGCTTCGACTTCCCCCACCACCAAAGGGTCCGGCGCCAAGTCCACCGACAGAAGCCGACTCGCAAGACATGTCCTCCGTACACGGTCCCATGCGAGCCAGCACCATCAGTTCCGTACGGTGAGTCGGAGCCACTTGACGCCCCGGGACCAAACGAATATAGCTACCGCGGCCCACTTAAGCAGATGATACCAAAGTGGACTCGTAGCAACCCCGAACAAGTCCCGGTACTAAGACCCGTCACAGCGGTCCCTCCCACTCGCCCTGACGCTGACCAGCTCGACATGAGCGTCATGCATGAGCAAGACGACAACCTCGAGCCGCTAAATAACGAGCTCGCCCATGCTAAGGCTCGCGCGTCCAATGCGCTGGGCGGAGCAGCACTTCGTGGTGATCTCGAGCAAGCATTGTCGCAGGCGAGGCCGGAGTTCTCGGCCGAGGAGGAAGAAGACGTTGTGGTTGAGGAGGAGGAGGAGGAGGAAGAGGAAGAGCAAGGGGCTGCCTCGCCCGAGGCGCCCGAGTCAGATCAGGACCAACCAACAACGAGCGCAAAAGCCGCTGCCTCCGGCGCGGAACCAGTCCGTCCGGTCGTCATGACCCCAGGTCCCGGCCAGGTCCCGGTGCATTCATTCATCGACACTTGACATCCTTCCGCTTGCGCAGGACCCAGTGGGACCGTGAGCATGAGCCGTCGGTGCCGCTTGAAGAAGCTCGAGACCGCGTGTACGACCTCGACTGGTCTAGCACTCCTCAAGCCGAAGGGGACCAGTTGCTTCCCTCGTCGTCTACCGTCCAGGTCAATCCGAATGCAGATGTGTATGAGCTAGATGCAGAAGATTCGGACAACTCCGATCCTGAAGCCCGCTCTCGCCGCATTCGTAACCTTGAGGGTCGAACTGAGGACGCCGGCTGGCTCACCTGGCTTGATGGTGAACGTCCTAAGACTAGCCAACCTAGTCGTCCCAAACCTAAATTTGTCGAGCCAGCATCCAAGCGAGTTCGTGTGGTCGTAAGCGCCGATGCACTAAGGGGGACGCCCCCCGTAACGCCCCCGCATGTTCGACAAGTGATTGTAGTCCCTAAGAATAAACCTAAGGGTGCATCAGTAGCTGCAGGTCCTAGGGTCCACTCTCTGAACCTCAACTGTCAACAGCCACTGAGACGGTGTTAGTGCCATCCGGCCTGCCTCAGCCGCCGCCTCAGGCGCGGGATGCTGCCCAAGCAAGTGCTACACCTATCGCACCTCCGGTATCTCAGCCACCAGTTGTCAAAGCATCGAAGTCCCACAGCACGCCGCCCCCGGCGGTATCGGTTGAGTCTTCGTCAGCTTCTCCACCGCCACCAGCAAAGCCGCCTCCAAAGGCGCGCCCTGTTCGTTCTAGGTCACCTCCTACTAAAGTTAAGCCACCGCCGCCCGAGGCTAGACAGTTGTCTGCCGAGGCCAAACGGCGAGCTTACGAGGCGTTCGAAGAGCGTAACAGACCGGTGCACGTGGAGACCGACAACACAGGCAAGCCGCTGCCGGCGGGTACTCGAGTACCAGCTGGCGCGGGACTCACGGCTGCAGCCCCGTCTGATCCAACTCCACCTGGGGATGGTGACGACGACCAAGGCGAGCCATCGACCCCAAGATCCCCTAAGCAACCCCCAAGACCTAAATCCCCTGATCGACCACCTAGCCAGCGTGCCGCATCGGGGCTTCCCTATACAAGACCCCGCCAGGTTCGCTAACCGGACGATCAGCTTCTTGGGAGCGGGATCCAAGTCGACACTCAGAAGCAGCTCCTCCGAGACCATTAACTCCTAAGAGGAAGCCGCCACCACCTAATCCTTACCCATTTCCATATGGTAAACCCACCAGTGTGCCATCAGTGCCTCACGATACAGCGTGGGCCTCGCACGCAGGCTGCCTCGTCGGCGGCTGCACCTCCAGTGTTAGACAATTCGTGGTGGGCGCCTACGGCCGCTTCACGCGCCGACACTCATGAGGAGCCGCCATCCGGTGGAAGACTTGCCCCGCACAGACCTCCTTCCGGTAGTCCTCCTTCTGATACACCTATAGGAGTATAGAACCCACTACGAGATATCAGCCTAACCGGTTGCCCCATTTGTTCGGCCAGCAACTTGCTGATCCACTAACACTAATTCCCGCCCAAGCCGGGGTGTTTGAAGTAGGCCTTGACTGGCATAAAGTGTTAGACACTATGCTGTCGCCTGTTCGCACTCCAACAACCCTCTTGACCGACCGCCTTAAGCGGCTCGAGTCACTACCGGCGCGCATCACCATCATTTCCTTTACCGGAGCGGGCGACCGCTACGATTCGACGGTTCAGGAGATCGATGCATTCCGTGACCAGCGCCGAGCGTCCGGCTGCCAACTCGGCGGAGGCTTCTTTTTGACTAACGAAAAGAC